TAAACCAGTTGAGAACAATTGGATGATTCAAAACCATGTATTTCTATAACACCAGCAGAATGCAATTAAGCAGTTTTATTTTAAGAAAACACTGAAAACAATTTTATCTAATAGCAAAAAGCCTCATTGGTGTGGCTGGACTTTTGGTATTAAAAATATTGTCCATGTTTAAATGCCATTATTTGTTATCAATAATTATCCCACTGGTGCATTTGGGAAGGGGGAGATGAAAGTGGTTTTTATCTCATTAGCATGTCTTCACTGTTAACTGTTTGTAATATTAGTTTGCTTTGATCTTCCTTTTGATTATAGTGTGCAAAGCTGATATAATCTGTTATTATTTCCATTAATAACTAAGTATCTCTTGTGGTTGACAAGACAATTTGTTATTATCAGACTGCCTTTATGCAATGCAAAGAGGTTTACACCCGTTCCCCCATCCAGCCTGTGTAAAACAACCGGCGTTTATCTGCTCCCAGCAGCCTGGAGACATTGCCCTCTTCAAAGAGGTTCCATGAACGCCGCTGGACAAAGACAGGAAGCACCTTGACAGTGAGCTGGAGACTTGGGCACATAGATTCTAATCTGGATATAGTTTCTACCTCAAGGGGATTTGCAAATTGGACAATCTAACCAGGAGCATATTCTGGTGACCCTGTTTTGTTCTGTTTTGTTTTTTTCTTGAGGTTTAAGTTGGGCAAGAGAAGGGGGGTTAGAGACAGAAGTGAGATAGTGGTGGCGAAGCTGAAATTTCTCATGCAACAAGCAGAGTGTATTCTCATCATTATGTCCACAGCATCTCAGGCTTCCAAAATGTGAGTTCTGGCAGATTATGAAGGCAAAAGATTTGCAACTCAAGGGGCTTTATTGTCAAGTTTCTATATTTGTCTTGTGTTTAACATCTCTGCCATTCTCATTCCCAGAGATTTTGAGATATTTGACAAATTTTGACACATACAAGGATAATTTCTCTCCACTTCCAAAATGACTCCACTTCCAAGAATAATACCATGGTTGACTCATTAGGAGAGAAAGACTGTGAGTGGAGTTGAGTTCGAGATATGACAACTTCACATCTTTTAAACAGAGGGGGAGAATTTCAAAACACAAACTTTTTCTAATGGATTTAGTTGGCACTCTGACTTTATTATCTGCCAGTGGAAGTTTCATTTTCTCCAAATCTATTGGTTGGCAGGGCAGATTATATTCTCAGAAGTCTTGCTGGTCCTATAAATTTAACCCACCTCTAACAATAGCACAGGGAAGGTGAGGGAGCTACCTGAAGTGGCAAAGTCCTATGGAGGCAGCTGTTGACAGCTACTTGAATTCCCCAAGGCATGTTTTATTTGTGGATATATGTGCTGTTGCACAAAAGACATTGATGATCTTTGCATGTAGTCATGGAAAGCTACCTGCCACCATATTTGGATGTGTCAGAAAGAACAGAGAGAAAGGAATGAATTAGGTGAGTCAGAATGTCCTGACATCATTTGGGGCCTTTGCTGACCTCTGAGATAGTTGAGGGGCTTTTGGATGTTCTTTTCACCTTCGGGTTACTGAATTCATGGCAGAAGCCCCTAGAGATGGAAAGGATAAACAGAGTTTCTGTATGTCTTGACTCCACAGATTTCAGCTCCTTAATTGATCCATTCAGATGATGTCATAGTTGGAAGTACATCCTCTGGGCTAGGCTAGAGCAAGCTAAACACTCTTACTACTAAGGACTTACACCACAAGAGCCCCTTTAACTAGCACGGTTGGCTGTTAGATAGTACCTGGCTGTGCTGAGAGGTATTCACTCACTCTCACCTTAGTAACCAGTAAGAAGTGGAGAGCAACGACCTTTTTCTTCATGCCTGATTATAAGCCTTCACAGAGCTAAGAACTCTGCAAATGTCTTCTGTTTTCAGATTATGCCATAATTTAGGATGACTCTTATATTTGTGTTATTTTTTATTTAGAGCAAGAATGAGGTCTGATGTTTTTCCCTGAGCAAAAATGAACAATACAGTAGACATTTTGAGACCTTATGAGCCATGAGAAGTCATGGGGATTTTTCTTGGATTTCTTGATGTCTGCACAAACTAGAATTTATATTTATATATTAACTACCTTGATTTCAGCCCTTCTGCTTGCCCATTTTGGGAAGGAGGGTTTGGGGGACAGACACAGAACTTTGTCCACCCCAGGTGACTATTTACCCATGAGCTATTCTGACCCTTACTATTATCTGATTGCATACGGAGATGATTAGCAGCTTAGCGGCTTTACCTTGACCGCCCATGCAGGGAAGTCAGTAACAACATTAAGCACTAAGCAGGGACATCATGTTCCATTTGTTATAAGGCGTGAAATTTATCTTCTGGGAAAGCGGCACACAGTTCTTGATGTGACTCACTTTAGTACAATAGAAATCAGCCATGATTTGTTAATTTCATTTGTCCCTTCACAAGAAAGGAAAAAAACATTAATTGTGTGGTGTTGGCAGAGGTTTTTCAGCCCATAAACTGAAATTTGACCAATGTTTTTCCAGAACACAGTCTTGGGAAGTAGATGTCATTAGTCTAACTTCAAAAGGAACAAAGGAACCATGTTTAGAGAAGCTGACTAACTTCCCCAAAGGTAGACCACTACTAAAGCTGAAAACACTTTTTGAAATGAAAGCTAACATTTTTTACATAAACACATCTTCAGCTATTGTTTTCCCTATTCGTTTCTTTATTGAAAGGAAAAGAAGAAAAAGCTCTAAAATTTTCAGGGAATTAGGCTCAGGGTGATTTTTGGAGTAATGGGCTTTTTGACATGAATTACCTGACTGTCATGGTTTAAATCATAACCATTGTAGAAGGTGTCAGAGAGACTGAGCAAGACTGAGGCTAGTTATTAAGTGTAATTATTTTATTGAGCTGCTGTTACTATAACTACATGTTAGAGAACATTATTTAAAGCCTATCTCAGTATATAATTTGTGTAAATTGATTGATAGGACATTTTTGTTTATCAATATAAAAACATTCATTTTTAGTTTGGAGATATGTACTCTTTCATCTTAGAGACTATCACTCTTGGCAATGTTTAAATTTGAGCTCCCCATCCTCATTTGACCACAGCCTTCTCCTGAGTGGCTTAGAAGAGCAGGATAACTGCCCTTGAAATGTACAGTGAACACATGGGCAAAGTACACCTGGACTTGAAGTCGGATTAAGTTTGCAAATGTGTCCTTGGACACAATCATACGCCCTCTTGAAGTTCCAGTTTCCTCAGGACCCAAACTTTACAGAGATACTATAACAATTAAATGCCATATATATGTGAAAGAGTGTAACAACGTCTTCCAGAAATAGTAGGTGCCTGATAAATATTCTTTGACTCTGTATCTATTTACAAAGCAAATTGAAGTTATATGAATATTTTTTTTCCTAACTGATTAAAAAAGGTTTTTGGCTTTCCTTTACTCAGCAACCAGAGTACGCTGGTTAAAGAGTGAAACTGCTTAGATGTTTCAGAAAAGCACAAAAGCTACGTGGATTTTTTGTGACAGCCCAGTTCTGAGAGGACAGATGTGAAATTGTAAAACACTGAAGCATCTTGTATTCTGGCTACACTAGGCCTATACACCCTTCCAGGAACTCCTGTTATTAGCCAGGCTTGTCAAGAACTAATCACTAGCTTTCAAGTTTTGTAAGGATACTCTGAAGGCTTACTTTAACCCTACTATACACAAAAATGTTTGTATTGCTACCCACTGATAAGAAAACTATTAGCATTCATTAAATACAGCCATAAATCTCTCTCTTGGAAGAGCAATAATGCAGGCTTGCAGCTGCCATAATGAATGCAGTGTTTAATCTCTCCTTGGGAAAGTGTCCTAACTTCAGACCTCTACTATAGTTAGACACCCTGGGAAGAGCATGGCATTGTGGAAATGAGACTGATGACAAAGAGTTATACTCTTGCCTGATTTTAGGTCCAGAAAGCCTCCAAGTTACAATTAAAACAGAAGCCTTAATTTTAAAAAGGAAATGAAAAGTAAAGTGACTTGTTCAAAGAAGATGGAATGTTAACATTTATTGTGCGCCTACAGAAATGACAGGCACAATAGAAGGAAATTTCTATTTGTACTAGCTCATTTTCTCCTTAAAACTACCCTCCAAGTTATTGTTGGAGGGTACCAATGTTGCAGAGGAGAAAAGAGGAACACAGAAAGATTGATATGGCAGCCCAGCGTCAGAGATAGAATCCAGCATAAGCAGAGTGAATTTAACTGTCTCTGATTCTAGATGCTACCAGGTGCTACTGGATGCTATCCCTAAGAGCAGTATCTTATTTTTAGAAATCAAACCTGTCTCGGTGAGAAGGAAGGTGTGAACTTCAAGGTAGAATATGGAAGTTTGGAACCTTGTTTCTATTTTGGGGAACATTTATAGCGTATCATATGAAGTCTTCTTTGTCTCACTTTACTTACACACTGTTCCAGGGCTCTCTTTGAAGAACAGCATCCCTGCGTTGCAGGACCCTTAAACTCATTTTGTCTGTGGGCTTTTCCTTCTATTTCTAAGTTCCCTGACTGGAAAACACCTTGTGCCCCTTGTCATCTGATGCAGCCACACAGCTCACTTTGGAGAATAGAACCAATGGCCCAGGGACAAGGAGAGGTCTCTTTCTCTACGGAACAATAAGAAAGGCATCACTTGAGGCTCTGCTAAATTAACAACCAGAAGGGAGAAGGCTTAGGCAGTTCAATGGCTCCTTGTCTTCCCCCTCCATGAGTTTCTCGCACAGGAATCTAAATTTCCAACATTTAATAACCTCTGAGTTTGAGCACATGGTAATGAATGATCTTTACTTCCAGGAGGAACTGAAAGAAAAGAAAAACCAACATCTCCAAGTCTAAGACATTACCTTCCCATAGGCAGTACCATGTAGTAACCACCTTCATGATGACCTTCTCTAGGCACTTCCCACTCATGGGAGAAGATACAAGATAGAGGTTGTTATGTGAGATTTTTGAGCATCAGGAGAGTGCTGCTTTGATAATTTCATTTGGAAAAATTGAAAGTTACCTTAAACATAAGCTTCAGCATCTAGAACAGCATGGTATACAAAAAATGGTGAACGTTTGCCTTCCAGTTCAACGAGGGAAGAGAAAATCTAAACAAAATAAAAACAAACAATTAATATGGCTTGATATTTCAAAAAGCTAAATTAAATTCGGCATGTGATCAACTTACTAACAAATCACATTAGAACATGGAGATCCTCTCCAAAGTGGAGAGCTGGTAGATGGGCTGACTGTGTCTTTCCAACTAGTGATTGCATAGACTGTAGAGCAGAACCCACCAGCTCAGCTTTGTTTGGTTGGCAATTCATCCTCTTTTGAGTCTATTCATAAATATTACACAGAAATAACAGCTTTAAACAAGCTTTATGTGTGATTGCTAGAGTTGGTTTAACGCTTTATTTAACACTACATGTTTAGCTTGCTTGAATACACTTGCACAGACGTTCTGTTCTATAAAGGATAGAAAAGGACATGAGGAAACTCTTGAAAGGAATTGTTCTTGTGATTATTTCATCATCTCTATCTCTGCAGAGTTTAAGTCTCTAACTTGGCTGTGAGTCATATGTGTACTATTTAATTTCTCTAAGAATGAACTAATAAGAATATCCATGTACTACAAAGAGAAAATATATGTGTATATGTTTGTTCGTGTGTGTGTGTGTGCATGCGTGCTCTTGTGTGTGTATGCATGCTCTTGTGTGTGTGTGTGTGGAGTGAGAGAGAGAGAGAGAGAGAGAGAGAGAGAGAGAGAGAATGGAGGTAGGAAAATAAAAAATCTCTCTTCAAATGAATTAAAAATAAAACCTGTGTGATCTTATGATGCTTAATAAACTATGGAAATGGTATTTTAGTCTCAGTAGGAGTTTAACTATTTGCATGTATTTTGAGTTCCCTTAAGGCACTTCCCAAAAAACAAAAAAGCAAAAGAAGATTATTAGTTTCCTCTGTAGGAGTGAGCTGGACAGATTCCACAGTTTAAGATGAGAGAACTCTGAAAGGTCAACGATTGGAAAGGAACCAGAAACAGGCTTGTGTTTCGTGTTTCTTTTCAGGTGTAACACCTGGTTTTGGAAGGGCCTCTCTACTCTGTGGCTTGTATTCCTGCTTCTTTATTGATATGAAACTTATAGCAGAAAAAGATGGGGTCAGGTGTGGTGGCTCATACCTGTAATTCCAGCATTTTGGGAGGTAAAGGCAGGGGACATTGCATGAGCTCATGAGTTCTAGACCAGCCTGGACAACATGGCAAAACCCCATCTCTACAAAGAATGCAAAAATTAGCTAGCATTGTGGCACATGCCTATAGTCACAGCTGCTCAGGAGGTTGAAGTGGGAGGATTGCTTGAGCCCAGGAAGTTGAGGCTGCAGTGAGCTGAGATTATGCCACTGTACTCCAGCCTGGGTGACAGAGCAAGACCCTGTCTCAAAAAAAAATAAAAAGAGAAGGAAAGAAAGACAGAAAGACACAAAGAAAGAAAGAGAGAAAGAGAGAGAGAGGGAGGGAGGGAGGGAAAGAGAGAGAGAGAGAAGAAAGAGGAAGGAAGGAAGGAAGGAAGGAAGGAAGGAAGGAAGGAAGGAAGGAAGGAAAGGAAGGAAGGAAGGAAGGAAGAAAGGAAGGAAGAAAGGAAGGAAGGAAAGAAAGTTACAGCAGAAAAAGAAATGCTCTCAGTTCCCTCCTGTGTCCCAAGATACTGTGAGCATTTTTTATTTTGAGGAGTGTCCATATTATAAAAAAACCCAGAAAAACTTTTTTTTCCCCTACTAATTTCCATTATACAAGTAGAGATTTTTGTTGTGTAATGGTGGCAAGCCAGATTGATATTGCTTGGCTGTGCCCTCACCCAAAATCTCATATTGAATTGTAATCCCTGTAATCCGCACGTGAAGGGTGGGACCTGATGGGAGGTCTTTAAATCATGGGGACACTTTCCCTTATGCTGTTCTCATGAAAGTGAATGAGTTCTCATGAGATCTGATGATTTCATTAGCATCTGGCATTTCCCCTGCTGGTATTCATTTTCTCTCCTGCCACTCTGTGAAGAGGTGCCTTCCTCCATGATTGTAAGTGCCCTGAGGCCTCCCTAGCCATGTAAAACTGTGAGTCAATTAAACCTCGTTTCTTTATAAATTATCCAGTCTTGGGTATTTCTTCATAGCAGCATGAGAATGGACTATGACACAGAGATTTTCCAATAGGCTCTACCAAATACTAGGAATAACATAGATTGTGGTAGGCAGCTTCATGGAATGCTGGAAAGTGCTGCTAATAGATTTCTGCTACTGGTTGATATTTACCAGGTACCAGCAGTCATCTGACACTTGTGTACAGGGACCTCAAAATGTTTCCAATTTGATGTTTCAACTTCTTGTTTTATTAATCCAGTTAGTTAAAAAAATATGAAAATAATTTTGAGCATTTGCACATAGAACAAAAAAAGTCTGTGTAATAAGGTGTCATTGATTTGATTTTGTTTCATTCCAAGTACTGCCTAAATTTATCCATGTGTATTCCCATATCACCCAGCTAGAATTTCCTTATTTACAGTGTTAAATTAACCTATTGTATAAATGATATTGAAGTTGAAGGAAAAACCATATCCCTGGAGTGCTTTCTCACACTTGCTGCATAATAAAAGTGGCAAATCAGATCTGTGAATTATTATTGTGTCTTGATAATAGAAAAAAGAAAAATTTGGTACTAGAAATAATGTACCATTATTTCCCAACCTCCCTTTACTTTGGCCCCAAATATTACTGAACACTTTAAAAATCATTATTAAAGATTACTAAAATATTAAAAATGACTCACAAAATGTGCTATGGTTTCTGTTCTTTTAGATCAGAATCATACCTCTGATACTTCAATTCACACTCATTCCAAGACATTTATTATGTCATTTGAACTTATCTGGTGCAAAATATTACAAGTCTGCAGTCTTACTAAAGAACTTACATATTTGCCATTGTTTTTATTTATTTATTTATTTATTTATTTATTTATTTATTTATTTATTTATTTTATATCAATGGAGTAATACACTGTGTGCTTTTCTATTATTTTATATCAGTGGAATAACACAATGTGTGCTATTACTGTCCATTTGTTTTATTTCAGAGTAGATATATGTGCTTATACCATAGTCTGTTTATCTATTCACATCATGTTGGACTTTTGAGTTGTGTCCTGATTTGGTCTGTTACCTATAAAGTTAATAAAACATTTGTAAACAGTTTTGTATATGGGCATAGGTTTTATTTCTCTTGTATAAATATCTAGGAGTAGAACAGTTGGATCATATGATAGGGTGTTTTCCAGAGAGGGTGTACTACTTAATGTTTCCATCAACAACCTATGGCTACAGCCTCCCAACACTTGATAAGGTCAATGTTTTAAATTTTAAATACTCCAACAGATATATAGGAGTATCAAATTGGGGTCTGAATTTATATTCCCCCTCTGGTTACTGAGATTGAAAAAATATATATATATGCTTTTTATGACCCATATATTTTGTTTGATAAAGAGTCTGTTCAAATATTTGGCCATTTTATTGGGTTGTTTGTTTAGGTATAATTGAATTTTTAAAAATGTTTACATAAGTCTGAATATAAAGCCCTTATTGTTTTCATGATTTGTAAATATTTTCTCTCAGTCTGTATATTTTCTTTTCATTCTCCTAATGTGTTTCAAACAGAAGAGTTTTTCACTTTTATAAAATTCAATTTATACATCTTTTAAAAAATGAATTATACTTTTGAAATTATATATGAGTTCTTTAGATACCCCAAATTCATAAAGATTTTCTTTATTTTTTTTTGTGCAAGTTTAAAAGTTTTAAGTCTTATATTTAGGTCTATGATCTGTTTTGAGTTGGTTTGTATAGATGGTGTGAAATATGGATCAAATCATATATTTTTACACAAGGATATTTAATTATTCCTATAATTTGGTTTAAAAGACTGTGACTCCTTGACTAAATGATGTTTGCATCTTGTCACAGATTAATTAGGCATACATGTGTTGGGCTATCTCCGAACATTCAATTTTGTGCTATTGATATGTCAATATGATAGTGTCTTGAAATCAGCTAGTGTGATTCCTGCAGTTTTGTTCTTTTTCAAAATTGGTTAGGATACTCTAGGTCATTTGTATTTCTATCATTATTCTAGAATCAGCCTCTCAGTTTCCAAGAAAGCCTAACTGAATTTTAATTAATATAATATTAAATATTATCTTTGTTCATTTTCTGTTGCTTATAATAGAGTACCTGAAACCAGGTAAATTATTTTAAAAATAAATTTATTTCTTAGAATTACAGAGGCTGAGAAGTAGAAGGCCAAGGCCCTGCATTTGGTGAGACCCTTCTTGCTCTGGGGACTCTACAGAGTCTCCTCTCAAGGCAGTGCAGGGCATCACATGGCGAGGGGGCTGAGCATGGTAGCTCAGGTCTCTTCCTCTTCAATCTTCAAGTGCTCGTATCCTTATTTTCTGTCTACCTGTTCTATCAATTATTGATATCAATTATTGAGAAACATACATTGAAATATCTGACAATTGTGGACTTGTCTATTTTTCCTTGAGATCCTATTAGTTTGCATATTTTTATTAGACTTCTAGAAAAGCAATTTAAAGTTCACAGCAAAATTGAGCAGAAAATACAGAGAATTTATACATATTCCTATTTCCTTATATGCATGACCTTCCCCATTATTAATGTCTCATGCCATGGTTGTACATTTGTTAGAATCAATTAACCCGTAGACACAGAATTATCACCCCAAATCCATAGTTTACATTAGGGTTCACTCCTGGTGTATATTCTGTGGGTTTGGAAAAATGTATAATGACATGAATCCACCATTTTAGTGTCATAAAAAATAGTTTTTGTGCCCTGAAAATCCTCTGTGCTCTGCCTATGTATCCCTCTCTTTCCCCTAACCCCTAGCAAATAGTGATAATTTTACTGTCTCCATAGTTTTGCCTTTTCCAGGATGTCATACAATTGGACTCACACAGTATGTAGCATTTTTAGATTGACTTCTTTCACTTAGTCATATGTGTTTAAGGCTCCTCCATGTTTTTTTTTAT